ACTGTAATCCTCGATAAAGTAATCAAGACCCGCGAACGTTGGTAAGCAATAACTAGTTTTGCGATTATGTTATCTAGCTCGTAGTCGTTACACAAAGTAAAATTTATCGCTCGTTTTTTACCTTTCCTTTGATCCCTTTAATTGCCACGTGCTCGTTTCCAAAATCGAGATTATTCTTAAGCTATAATCATAATACTTAGGTGATTTCTTTACCTAATAATTTCAGTTGACCGCTTCGATATAATAACGCCCCGAGGAATAGGAAAATGCGCGTGTATCAACCCGGGAATCGAATTTACAACTCTAGCTTGAAAGGAAACATTTACAAACTGAACCACCAGAGACAATTCTCAATGAAATGTCTAAAGCCATTCTTGATTGCATTGGTTTTGAGTCACTACGTTCCGCGGTTTTCTGGAAAATTTCGTGTTAACTGTTTGAGCAATGAGATGCAAAACTAAAACTACCAACAACTGGGTCGCTCTTGTTTTTCCGCGCTTAAGGACTTTTAAATGCTTTCACTGAGTTTGTCTCAGATCCTTGCGTTAATTTTCCATTTCCTGATTGGCAATTATAGTTACCTTAGTTGTATTTTTACGACTTTTGAGAGACAATTGTTTTCACCCAATTACCTTCATCCCTGATCGTTGAAGACAGAGGTATCCCATCGGGTTGGCTTATGTCCACTGTGACCCTGTCTCCTCCTTTACACCTTTTGCCATGTCGATCCTTGGTTGTCAGCCGGAAAGTTGTCTCCATTTTGACACGCGCAGTATGGATCCCATCTCCGCTAGCGTATGAGATCGAGGCAAAAGTGCTACTTGCCCGGATGCTCCCGAGTGACTCCGACACAGTCTTCGTTGTGGCTGGATCGTGAACATATTGAATTGTGTCATCTTCTTCGGGCTCGAACTGAATCTTTACACCATTCAAGGATTCTAAGCGCCCTTTCATCTGCAGAACCTCCACTTCGTTGCCGAACTTTAAGACGTTGTCAGCAAACTCGCAACAGCCTGCAAGCTTTCCCAGTTCCAACTCAATACTGTCCTTTTGCAAGCCCAACACTTTCTGTTTCCCGTCATGAATTTGATCCAGGTGCTTTAGGAGCTCGTTTTGACCCTCACGTAGTGTTTCAATTCGTGCCTGCACGTTCTCGCTGATTTCCTTTGCAATTGCTTCTCTACACTCCGTAAGCCTTTTTGACATTTCTTGCACTCCGGACAGCGTTTTCTTCAATTCAGGTATGCGTATCTTAGCTTGTTCTAGCTGCTCTGCGATGGCACCCCTTCTGGCTGGTAAAGCCTCCTTAGGGTAGACGTACTGGTGCTCTCGGTGCTCTAGAATTGTGCAAACACGACAAATGGCTTCATCGCACGTGTTGCAAAAATACTTGATGACATTCCTAGTGTGGTACTTGCAAAACGATAGGCTATATCTATCCAACTCTTGACTCTCCTGCTGACCTTCATCTTCGATTGTGGCAATTATCCTATGGTCGAGTGTGGAATGGGCCCGCTTGTGCTCTGCCACGCAACTCGTGCACAAGTCCTTCTTGCAGTCCACGCATCGTGAAGTGGCCAAGTCCGCTGTTTTCTCGTTTTCACAGGCTTGGCATTTATTCTCCTCGCGTATTTCTTTCTTCAGCTCTTCCGATTTCAAGTGAACCAGATCCAGCATTTGATTCACAAAAAAGTTTGGCATTAGCATATCGACTCCTTTGTCCGGGATCGGGGTCTCTGCGCGGCATGTGGGGCAGGTAATCAAGGATGACGGGTGATTATTGACGATTCTATGCAAACATTGTGAACAGAACGTGTGCAGGCATTTTAGGAACACCGGAGCAGTCAGGCGATCCAAGCAAATGGCGCACATCAGCTGCTCGTTGATCTGTTCGATAACCCTAACAGCGGAAGTCATGGTGTCTTTCTAAACTTGAAACCTAACAGGAAAAAGAAATCCTAATGAGTTAAAGAGGGACGACAG